CCTAGCAAAAGGAAAGTCTCTTAGGTGAAAGTAGTAATTTTTACATTCAAATATTTTTTTTAAGTCTACTCACTTTTATTTTATTCCATAAACATTGATTAACCCTCTCTCCACTGTTACTCTGTACTGGACACTGTTAGATGGCAGGAGGGCATTTATATGAGAGTCACCCTTTGTTGAAAAGAAGCGTTACCTTGTATGAGGAAGGAATCAGCATTTATTGTCCACTTATTAAGGGAAGACGTCATGCTCGGTGCTTTATATACGGCATTAAGTCCTCACAACAATCCTCTATTACGTATTTTATTAGTACCAGCTGGAGAAAAAATCTGAGCTTAGGGAAGATAAACACCTTCCTGAAGTCACAGAACATAAATCTAAATATTTTTCTCTCTCCAGACTTAATTCTCTTTCTCCAACAGTGTGTTTACGCCTTATGTCTGCTATGCCAGAGCACGTAGTTTCCCTGGGTAGGCTGTGCTGCAATGTCTTTCTGGGTCAGCTAGATTTCAGAAATGAGAAACCACTCTAACCCTTACCTACAAACCTTTTCAGAAATAGAGCATTTGACTTACACAGCCCACGGCCCCCACAGTGACTTTTTGTTGTTATTTTCAAAGAATTTCCTCAGAGTCACACTTTCTTACTCTGCCATACAGAAATAGCAATGTTGTCAAAAGGGTTCTAATATTAGCAGCTGCCCTACATCTTTTAAACTCTCTTAACTGAGCTGTGAATGTAGGCTATTATCAATATTATTCCTTTTCTGCTTCTTGTTCTGTATTTAGCGAGCTGAAAATGATTATGGAATCTACACAACAAAGAACAATTTTTTTATATGTCAAATCTTTGAGCAAATAAGAGAATAGGGATTCTGCAATGTTCTTACATCTCACACAATGCCCCAAAGTCTGTACAAGATGCTCCACGTATATTTGGGGTGGCTATTTTGGTGGTAGAGTTATTATGCAGCACATGGCATGCTTATTATCAATTCTTCTCTTTCCAGCTACTAACCAAAGAATAGAATTAGCAAATAATAGAGCAATCGCATGATCACACACATGAGTAGTAAGGAAAAGGTAAAATGAAAAAAAATTAGGCTTGGACTTTTAAAAACAACTTTTTCCCTATATAAACAGCATTACTTTATAGGAGATCTGAGGTAAAAACAAGTAGGAGGTTAGATGGGAGAAAATTTTAGAGTTTGAAGCCAATTTGTATTTTCATTCTGCCTTGTCTTAGTGGGTTTTAATATACTACCCAAAGGGTCAAGAATGTGTATAAATTAAATTATGTGTAAAGGATAAGATTTTTCTACTTAAGCCTCAACTGTGAAGAAATCAGATATTTTCCTATGAGGAAGAACTAATTCTTTAGGGAAGGATAATTGTACCATTGATATATTATCTTGTCATTTTATTTCAATGTATGACAAAGATTTATGTCATCTCACTAGAAAAGCAATCATGAATACAGAATCACACTGGAGAAACATTTTGTTTTTCAAATGTTTATTTGTTTAAACAAATCTACCTCTGGTTCATACTGCCGAAGAAAAATAATACAGTGTGGAGTTTTACAGCCCTAACTTGGAAAAATTATCTTCATTCAAAAAGGTGAAGATATAAACACTT